TGTATATATTTATATATACATATACATAAATATCTATATATATATTACATATATATATAGATATATATGTATATATTTATATATACATATACATAAATATCTATATATATATTACATATATATATAGATATATATGTATATATTTATATATACATATACATAAATATCTATATATATATATTACATATATATATAGATATATATGTATATATTTATATATATATATATATACATACAAACCATTTTGTTCAAATGACTCTCCAGATGTTCAATAAAACAGAAGAGTTGAACATCCATCTACAGAACAAACACTGATGATGATTATGGATGATTTACAGGGATTTTTATGTTTATTAAAAATAAAAATGGTACAGAAGCTTGATCTTCTTATTTCTGCTTTTTTGCAGCAGTGAATTGTGGTTAATACAATTCATTGAAGTCCATATAGATCTATGGTTGTAGAGCGCATGGGGGTGGAAGCGCAGGGCGCCCCCACGCACCTCGAACCGTCAGTGGAAAGAAGCAGGTAGAGCACAGCATGTACAGCATGCGGGGAATGGGCCAAATTCACCTTAAACATATTACTGCCACCTACAGGGCTGGAGGGAGAAACTCTCTCCTCACTCAGGATAAATGCCATGGCAGGTAAACTGAACAATCCTGAATGACAAACAGAACCTGGAGCTGCTGGTTCGTCAACCATCAACAGTGACTGATCCGCACCTGTCTGAACCCACATCCAGTTATCAGCTAAGACTGGCTGCGCTCTGCTAAAAACATCTCTGCGCCTTGGACGGGTGACTGGAAGGAAGAAGGTTAGAATCCGAAGCACCGTACCAAAAAACATGGGGATGTCCAGCCTATCCTCCCGATCCACCCTTCTCTTGATCAGCACGATGTAGACGGCGTACAGCATGGCGCCCGCCAGAGACCACAGGGAACCTTCAGAGAAGATTCAGTTCAGCATCTTCAGAAAACAAGTTTAACTGAGCAGAAGGAAGCAGGAAGTAGATTTCATGGTTACCTATAACTCCTTTGTCATCAGGGCTCTCCATGCTGGACAAACTCACCAGAGAAACCCCCCCCATGCTGCAAAAAC